TTCATACCCCTCTTTGCTAAGTTACTATCCCATCCCAAGCACATCAACCCATGACACCCCAGCTCCAAATCTTCTATGTTTCTTCAATTCGTTTTACTAAAATCAGCCTGCCCAAAATGCTTATATCAGTAGAAAATGGAGGCCGCTTGAAATTTTAGTTCAAACATCTCTAACTTTAAACTTTAGAACAAACTGATATATAATTTGGCAGCTGATAAGTACCTGTGATTGTAGCATTATCCCATCCTTGTAGAATGCTACCAATTGTAGCAGCAATGGCCACCATCACAGCTCCCCTCATCTTTTCACCAATGAATAAACAAGACCCCCAATATCAAACAAACCTGAAAGGAAAAAGTACTCACATAAATCAAAATTAATAAATCATTTCCACCTACGATAGACCCAAATCTAACTAACTCATAAGTAACCATTGTCACACCCCAAAACTCAAGTGTAAGATCAAGGAAATTAAAAGAGCATACAAACAGCAGAAAACAAAACTTTGAAACCTTGATGCTAGTTCTGAAATAAACATTGAGGCTGAACAAAACCAAGAAATAATAGAACTTAAATTTACAACATGCTTCAAAACCAAACAATTGATACAAAAATAGAAGCAATCAGGAAATCCAACACAACATCAGCTCAAAAGAAGACATGTGGAACTAATTGGTGTAATTCTTTTTATTAAATTCCAAGTTCAAAAAGTGTTTCAAACTATTAATAATAGTTTCATATGTTGCAGAAATCTAAAATTTAAGTTGGCTTGATATTTCACCAAATATTTCATACAACTTAGATTGGATTTTCAAGAAACTATGTTTAAAAGAAACTTGGACATATCTAAAATGAAATTCAAAAACCAATATAATAAATATGCAAGTAATAAGAAGAATCCAACCATTTCTGCGTACCCCTTCACTGAAAGATTTCTATACACTTCAACAAAATAAAAACCAGTAGATAAGCCAACCACAACATACACTACAACTAGTGTTGACCCAACTTTACAAAAACAACTATCGCTCACCCAAAAGTCTGAATTGTTCCAAGCTACACCAGAAAATCTGTCACCACTAGATCATCAACCTAACCTTAGCAAAAAGATCTATGCACCACCAGAAATTTTTAGGAAAAAGGGAGTCAGCAAACCATGCCCAATTTTTCATAAATGAACAATGATTAAGATACATCTGAAACCAACTCTAAAAAAAAAAAGAAAAAAGAAAAATATGTTCAGGCATTAACTCAAATCACATCCAGCTTTCGCAAACTACCTCTCTGACCCTTAACATTTCAATTATTTTTTTTCTTTTAGACTTTTCCTCAAACACTACCTAGGCTTTTCCTTAACATTTCAATGCATTGCATCAGAAGAGTCATAAATCATTACCTTGATTCGAACTCATCTCGCATATATCACACAAATGGCTAGAATACTTTAATGCTGCCTGCTTTTGGATATATCATCCATCAACAAACAGAACGAAGCAAGAAGGCAATGAAAAATATTAACAAGCACCAACATCCATTATGCGGGAAATTAAATATCAAATGAGCCTTAATTTTTCCTAAATCAAGCACCTGGGATGTGACATCTAAAAAAAATCTTTATGTAATAGATTAAAAAACTAAGTGTTGTGTATAGTCCTTGATACATGTAACTTCAAAACAATGAGCAACCAACAATCAGATAAGAAGTTTTTTTTCAAGTTTTAAATAAATGAAAACAAATGAACTACTTAAATCGGATTTGCTTATAGATGAATTCTACAACTAGAGAGATGCAATATACAGCTTTAGAATAAATACACATGCAGATATCAAAAATCATAATGGGAAAAAAGGGAAGGACGGGCGTGAATGAGGAGATGACAATATGAGCAATGCATAGATCACAGAGAACTGCTTAAAAATCATTGATGGGGAACTAAACGAGGGCAGAAAGGTTGCATGGTGTCCTCAATTGCCATGAGCATTGGATATGAATATTTTGGGAAACCCATTATCAAATTTCCGAAAAGAAACAAAATTTACAAAAATTGAATACAAGAGCAATGCAGAAACAATACAACTTATGCATTTATAATGAAAAGTAAATTTTTCCATGGCAAATGCCTAATGACAGCTCACCTCCATGTGAGGCTACAGAGCTCAAAGTCATCAGATTGAGTCGTGACTTTCTAAGCGATCGACTTGGTCTCAGCAAAGTAGAGAAGGTAGACCTTCTTCACTGCCGATTCGGAAGCCGTTCCACCTGAGGTTATGGAGATGTGTGGAAGAACATGATTAGGAGTATTTATTTGTTCATTCAATATTTAAATTAAAAATTTGTGAATTACTCACAAATAAAGAAATAAATAAGAAGATAATGTTAAGAAACTAAACTGAGCAGAGGTGGAGTGAGAAGAATAAGACGAGTGTCCGATCTGAGGATGAGCAGAGAATGCTTGGATCCAAGCATCGACATCAACCTCCGGGTTCACAGCTTCGTCGAGAGATGAGAAAGGGGAAGCTTTCGCGAATTTGGTGCTTCCACAGAATGCTAAGAACTCCTCCTTTCCAAAATTTCGGTGAGAACAGAGAGAACATAGAAGAGAAGATCTTTAATTTTGAGGAAATTTTGTACTTCTAGGGTTTGTAAAAGCAGAGAGAGTGAGAAATGAGCGATTTAACCAAGTATTTGAAAAGGAGGTCAAGCCAAGCCGCTAATATCATAATAAAGGGAGCCAGCCAAGCTTCTTTGGGTTATTTGTGAGTGGAGCCGAATGGGCTGCAGCTTCCTTTGACAAGTTGGGACTGATAAAAAGTCCCAAATATTAACAGAAAATAATGAAAATCATTTTTTTACATTACACACCAATGTCTATTCCAAATACTTTTAATAGGCACTATGGTAGAATTGGTTTCCAAAATAATTCACATGGCACTTTTATGAATTTGTATCTATTACATCAGTGAGTAGTAGCCATATTTCTAGTAGTGAGTTTTTATTAAATTCTATAATTAAGGTGTGAATCACGTCTTAACCCAATATTACTTAAATCCGTGGGTTGGGGCGTGACAGTTTCCTAGTATTATAATGAACCGATGACACTTGAACTATGCTTCTTTGGATAAGCTCTGTCAAGTATTCTTTTGCAACATCCTCCAATGTTTTCTTTCTCTGCTCTCTTTTATAAACCTTCAACGATCCATTGCCGAATTAGTCTACCGCATCTGATTCTGCAATTGTCTGGATATGTCCCAAAGTATATGAAGCAAGGTCTGAGTTGGTAAGGTAAATCATAATAGCTAAAAGAAAGAATTTTTGTAATATTTGCCAAATGAGATCCTCTAGTAAGATGCTTTCATAATCCAAGAATGATATATCTCTATCATTCTTGTTCTTGCTGTCAAAACTTGAATTAGAAAGTAGAGTATGGAATAACAAATCGTGTCGTATTCAGGCTTGGCCCTGGAGTAAAAACCCAATGAAATTGAATTTTTTCTATGGACATATCGAGATATTATCGATATCAAAAAAATTGAACAAAAACCACGAAAATTGTAAAAAAAACTTGGAAATTTTTCTTGAAACTTTGGATGATATTTATTTAGTCAATTATCTATTACTTTATCACAAAAATATTGGAAGGAAATGCATCGCATGATGAGTTTAACTGATTTAAGTTGATTATATAGCGAGCTGACAAACAATGCGAGTGTAGAAAACATGTAGTAATTAATGAAAGAAGATTAAACACAGCATAATCATTTATTTATAATGATTTACTACAATATTTTACACTTTATACATTGCATGGTAAGATACATGAGTGACTTAGTACCACATAGAGTTCCTATAAGGTTCAAATTTGAGTTATTTACACTAACACTTCCTAAGGTTTTTGGTTTTTTCACTCCTTGAGGTTTTAGAAATTACAATAACACCCCCTGAGGTTTTAATTTGTTTTTACAAAACTCCAGTTCATTGATTTTTCATCCAAAGATTGATGATTTTATACAAAGAAAAAATCTCAAAATAACAAAGTTGGCCTTTGAGATTAGATTGTATATACTTCATTGAGGTTAATTTTGTCTTTTGCATACTTTTTTTTTTCAATGAAATCATTAATTTTTAGACAAACAATCAACGAAAAGGGGTTTTATGAAAACAAACTGAAACCTCAGGAGGGTGTTCGTGTGATTTTTGAGACCTTAGCGGGTTTTATGAAAACACAAGAAACCTCATGGGGTGTTAGTGCAAATAACTCATCAAATTTTTCACTGTCTTTATCTTCTCGATATTATCGATAATATAGCGATATTTTGACTAAATGTTGCTGAAGTGTGAGAGAAATTATCGACGTCAATATTTTTCGATATTGTCGATACTTATACAATATGTGTATGGATATGTTCCAAAATATCTTAGACCCGGAAAAACGATAATATCCTTGATGTTTCATTGATATTATCGATATTTTAATCATTGTCTACAAGTTACAACAATACATGAATACATGAATGAAAATATAAATGTAATGATAATTTGTTAGGTTTTCAATTCCTTAGATATTGGTTGCCCTCGTGATTTTGTATTGTAATTTTTCTTTCTTTATATAAAAAAACATATAATAAAGAATTAATACGCAAGCACCAAGAGAAGTGGCACCCCCACACAGATGACGTGCCCCAAGAGACCCACACACCAAGTATATGGAGTTCCTTGACCAAAAAAAAAAGTATATGGAGTTCAAACTCTAGACCCAATACTAGTATACTACACCAAAGCAGCCATCTAACATTGTGATAACGACTGCTTTTAGTCCATATATTCCGAAGACATCATATTAATCCCCATTCCTCAAATTCGATCGATATCATCCTCATTTTCTTGTTCTACACATCAAAGTCACCCTCTACTGCGTCCAATTTTGCATTCAAATTAATAAGGGTAATATTGTTAAATCAGCCAAACTAACTTATTTTAATTAACTTGTTAAAATTCTATTTAAAAATAGTTAATTTGTGTTGTACAATTGTTGTATATTTAATTGTTAATTATATATAGGTTTCGTGTATTTTATTATATGTTACTTTATTATTTTATGATTGTCCTCCAACAAATAGTACTTTGAAATTGATACACTAATTGAGATTAGAGCTTTGTATGTGTTTTTTTTAAAATTATACAAGCGATATTGGGGGTTGGTAAATGCTCTTAACGCGACTTGAGTTACAAATTCCTTGCATCAAAGCTGCTTGTTTGGAAAAATTGAGAGTGCATTTTTAGCTTTATTTTTAAATTAAAATTTTCTTTTTTTGCAAATTTTTTATAGAATATATTTGATATGTTAACCTGAACTAATGATAGAGATAATTTGCACAGACGACTAGGGATTCAAAGCCAGGTTTGAATTTTAGTGGGAAGCCATAGATAAAACTATTGGGTAATCTCAAAAAGATAAAAGTAATGTTATAAATTATAATGAGGTGGAATCTATTTCAAACCAATAAATAAGTACATTTCATAAGTAAAGTCGCAAATGCCCTTATAGCTCAGTGGTAGAGCGTCAGTCTTGTAAACTGAAGGTCTGCAGTTCGATCCTGCATGGGGGCAAGTAATTCATACGTTTTTTATCTACTTTTTACAAGCTGTCGATTACAATTTTTAAAGATTGGAATTGACAGCATTATTTGATCTTGACATAAACCTCTTGTGTGTGTTTTTGTGTAGCAGAGAAGGAGATTTGGCAATTGGTTCTTCCTATATCAAATCATATCCTCCAATGTTAGCTGGAAACTACAAAAGAGAGAACCAGAAGCTACAATTTTCCTCCCTACTTGGTAGGTACTGAGACATCCGATGATCAGCATTCTATACTAATAGAGCTCATGTACATCATCTCCTATACAAAATATTGATGTCCTTGTAACCCCACAAAAAGAGCCCAAAGATCATGACACAAAATGTTTCTTCACAGTGTAGCTTCGGCACATTTCTGCTTCGGAACTATAAAGCTTGAGTTATACCAAAAAAAGAACCAAGCAGCCGGTGTTTAAGTTTTTCATCACCAAGAGGCTTTAGCCACATCTTGAAACATAACCCCAAGGTTCTCTGAACTCGTATTTAGAGTCTCAATCTCAGATTCAAGCCTATTTACAGCCTCTTTTACTTCCAAAAGCTTTGCCTCCAAGCTCCTCATCTCTTCTTCTGCCTGGTCCTTTTCAAGTCTAGCCTCTTTAAACCTTTTTGATTTTGAAGCAAGACTTACAAGCTGGTCTAGCCGGGCTAGAAGGAATCCGATGTTCATGCCTAAACCCTGAAAGGCTTTCAAAGTCTGATCCCAAGTGGAAAAATTACCTTCTGGGGTTGTAATATCGCACGCCCTGATGGCATCTGCAATGTTTACGGTCTCAGAAATTACTCCAGCTACGAGTTTGCAGTTCAGACCCTCAAGAAGATGTTCATGAAGGAAAGAGTTTTGACTGCAACAAAGCTCATAATACTTGTTCAAAATGTATTTCGAAAACTCAGAATTTATGATTAAACCATTGACCAGAATGTTGAAGTCATCCATGCATTTCACTTCTTCGAATGTGACAGCAGATTCTGAAAGTCTAAGTCCATCCAGAACTTCAAAACCAACATCTCCACTTTCACTTTCAGACTGATCTGATATTGGACAAGATTTTGTAATAAAGGCTATTGCATTGTCCTCTGAATTGGGTTCCAAAGTCTCACTTTCTTCCCTCTCACATGCAAAAGTGTCTCCTGCATGATTTAAGACTCAGACTAAATTCATAATGCGCGCTTTGCCTCGAAGAAAGTAAGAATAATGATTGTCAAGCCACTTAGCGAAATAACTTTGTGAATTTTGAGACAACTTACCAGTGTCCATTTTTTTGCAAGCATCTAATCTCATAAGGCCAAGAGCGCCATCAAGTTCATCTAATCCATTTGATCTCACAATATACACCTAAACAAGTAGGCAGCAAAAGAATTGAGTGGTTGGCGTGCATTTAGGAGTAGCATTTTAAAGCACTAAAATGTCTGCAATCTATGCTCGTCAACCCAGAAGCATTAGGAATTCTTCACTAAGAAAAGTAAATCTTATCCTTTATCTACAGCTAAGCATAAATTATGACAAACTTAAAAAATATACAATCAGCCAAATTGTTCATACCATTTTTCTTCAAACTGCAGGATAAACATTCTCATCATCAGGAGCCACTCTAAGGCCTGACGTGGCCCTAGCCCCCTGCAATATTTTCTAAACATTCTATACAAGTGCTTCAATTCATCCTTTTATTACTGTTAATACTTTCTTCAAGATTTTTATCTTTTTACAAGTAAGACGAAGTTATCTTGTAGTCATTTATTGCCTTTGTTTTATTATACATTCAATATTTAATATATGCAAGATTCAATCATAGAAAATGTCCAAGATATAAAAAAACGATAATCCCATTTTAGTACATGATTGAGTACTCAATTATTTCGTGCCTTTTATTTTTTTAGTACATTGGTAACGTTTCTTTTCTTTGAACTTATGTTTTATATGTTCCCTGCCACACACTTAAAATCCTAGCTCCGCCCCTGCTCATCATCTCGACAGTCATAATGGCTTTCCTAGCATCTATCTTCATATGTTACACTGACTACACCTTGACTTACAAGATTTCTCTTGCAAGGCAAGCAATGACCAAATATTTGAATTCTTCAACGAATTCACCAAGTTTAACTAAATGTTACACAATGGCACTTCTAAGCCAAACAATTTCAAGATATTAACAAAGGATCCACACCAAAATTTCAAGAAGGTATCAGTTACCTTAAATTTGGAAGGATTGACTAGATGGAAAACTATAACATCTCCTTCCAGTAGTTTGTGAGAAATTGAAAACCCTCTCCATCCACCACTCAGTCCCACCTTATCCGCCAGATATTTCGTTTCGAATTCTTCCCCATTTTCATCTTCCAGAGCAATCATTATATCCTGTTTTGGCAAATGCTCACAGCAGAATTTCTTAGGAAGACCCTGCAAAACCAAATTGAGTGCATATAAATATATCATCTTAATAGTGAAGGGCAATAAATGTGATTTCAAATGCCTTGAGATAATTGTACAAATTGTGAAGAGAGTGAGTGAGTTTTACCAGCCAGAATCCTCCAGTAACATGTGATGGGAGCATAACTTTGAGTAGGCTAGGAAACTTAGGATCTAGGCTTACTTCAACCTCCTGTGCTCTTTCCAGAACAGAAGACTGAGCTTGGGAAGTATCATATAAGCTTTCCACTGTGGCTCTTTTTCGTTTATGACTATTGGTAAAAAGATTGACGGAGGGTCCAGTGTCACTTTCTAATTATATCAAACAATTATACTAAAAGTAAAAAATTAAAAAAAACAGATTAAAAAGTAAATTAAATATATTAGAGACTGACCTTTCAGGCATCATTGGATTAGCACTGACTACCTGTATTCAAGAATTTAAAAGATTTTTCAGTTAATTTAGGGTTTGAATCTACTGACAGAGAAGAGAAGAGATACTTGCAAACAAGTAAAGAAATTAAATTGGTCACCAATTCAAAATACAACAAAAAGTTTACCCAGAGTTATGAAATCATGTTTCTACAGTTTTACAAAACTGAGAAGAAGGAAAGAAAAGCTTCGCTGAAGAAGACCACAGAGAACTCACTTCACTTGCATCTAAAAGCATCTTTATGCAATTTACAAGCACTTAATGTTGAACCTAACACATGCAAGCTATCATTGCTTTCCATAACCTCATAGAGCACGTAATTTCTAGTTTTGATGTGATTTCTGACACACTAAAATGACAAAAATGCTGAAACGTGACAAGTGTAATTTCAATGCCTAATTAGTGGTGGGCCCCATGCATTTCTTCTTCTTTTTTTGGGTCATAGCATTTCTTCTTTTTACAAAGTAAGCACAATGTATTTCCATATTGGGCTGGGCTACAGCACACCCAGTTTTTCAGAAAATATATAGAAATAAATAAGAAAAATATAGCTCAGCCCATGAGGGATTTTGGGTTAAGCTTTTGGTCCAGTGGTTTGAAACATGAAACCTTTTTTCTAATTTTTTTTCTTTTCATTTGAATCATCAAAATTGCAGACGATGAACATAAATGAAAACTTGTCCTCTTCAGGAAGTCTGTAGTTGCTTTAAAAGCTCATATTTATGAAATTATCCAAGACTTTCTGTTCTAAATCGTTTCTAGCAAAAACCCATTTCAGAAAGCTTACAACTTGAAAAGATTAAAGATACGTAGTGTTCGAAATAGAAAGAAGCAAGAACAAAAAACAAAAACCCAGTAGAAAGATGAATAAATAGAGCCCATGAATTGTGGGGAAAGAGAGAAAGAAAGAAAAAGAGAACAGAGCATAGTGTTTCTCACAATGCTTTTGGACTGAGTGAGAGATGAAGATTTCTTCCTAACCAGATTTTCCCTGTTCTTTGGTGGTCGTCCCTTATTACTCTGCAAAAACATTTGTAAACAAAACAGTCACATACTCAGTTTGCAAGCAAAACCATAAACATAACTTAGAGAGAGAAAGAAAGAGCGGACCTTGGGTGGTGGTAGGTCAGAGGATCTCTGTTTCCGGTCTTGAAGAACAGCCATTTGGCTCTCTCACTTTGTGGTTCTGGAGGTCAAGAGTGAAGAGTCAAAAGGCATAAAATACAGAGAGACTGTTTGTTTTTTTTGGAGGGGTGGGGGGGAGGTGGTGGTGTCTGAGAAGAAAGACATGTATGACGACAAGGGGAACGGAGGATGAAAAGACTTCGATTTAAATTTTGCATTTCTGTCAGACCCTCAAGGGCCTAGAAGCTTGCCTGAAATGGAGCCAATTTTCAAAAACAATAGGGGCTCTTTGGGTATTTGACAATGCGGATAAAAAATAATTTTATCACCACTTTTTTCTATTACTAGCTTCTCAGCATGGGTAAGTCTTCTTTTATTATGTTTATAAATTTCCTTCGTGATGTATGGATGTGAAAATAATTTCTTTAAATATTTTTACAACTCCATAGTATATAATACCTTGATAAGAGTACGACACATGCTCAATTCAAAAAAAAAGAGATTAAGAGATGCATGATTAAGTAAAGACAACCAAATAATTTTGAACAGGAAATGTGCGCAATGATTTTAAGACTGAAACTTCGAACACAAAGAAATTAACGTGTGGGCACCACTACGCATCAATCCCTTGATCACTCATTTCAAACATGTTACATAGCATTTAGAAGAGCGTAAAAAAATAGCTCAAGAATTTAAGGACTTTTTTGATAACTATTTCAATTTTTGTTTTTGTTTTTGTTTTTAATTTTAATTTTTTGTGCTCTATTTATAGAGCAAAATGAGAGTGAGAATGAGAGTGAGGATGAGATCGAGAAAAAGAACGAGAGGGGAGGATATTTCTCAAAGTTGGCAACGCACTCTTTTGTTGTCAATTGATGTCATATCTTGGGGGGTGTATCCAATCCGTACTTATAAAGAGTTGACTTTCATAGAGTTGACAAATTCTTAAATATTTTCATAGAGTTTATAAAAGTCACTAGAAAATTGGCAAGACTTTTGCTATTAACAATTAGCCCGAAAAGTATGGAAAAGTCATTCATTTAATAAGTTTTTTAAAAGTCATTAACTTTTTGGATACCACCAAACTTTTAAATACTTTTAACTACTTTTTAAAAGTCTCAATTGAATACCACTAGACTTTTATAATCTCTTTAAAATCTAAATTGAATACCTCCAGACTTTTAAACTCTATAAAAGTCATTAAAAGTTTGAATTGGATACACTCCCTTAAATCTATAAAAGTCATTAAAAGTTTGAATTGGATATACCCCCTTAATATCAAATTAGCAAGTAATTGACATTATGCTTCAAGAATCAAAGAATATTATGACTCAATATTGAAACACAATGCATCATACAAAAGTATAAAAAACCAAAAAAGAAAAGGGAATTACCTTCCAGTTTCTAGGATATCGAACTAGACTCAAAAGGTGGAGAAGAAGAGGAGATTCCCAAAAAAGTTGAAAGTAAAGTAAGAAACTGTAAGAGCATCTTCATTGCAAGGGTGTAAAGGGAGATGTAAAAGACATTTATACCAAAGCTGTCGGAAGTTGCTCTATTAGTGGGATGTAAATGAATGCAAATATAGCATTTGGCAAGAAAATATTAAAAAAAATATGGACATTTACATCTAATTTTACATCCCCATTTGCTGGCCCCATATGCTGAAAAAGAGAAGAGATAATGCAAAAGTGGGCTCTAAACATATAAAAAGTGAGATAGCTACCAAAATACAAGAATTATCATTTTGATTCAACTTGATATAAAATCATTTCCTTTCATGTCCTTTTAACATCTCCAATTTATATCTATCCTATTGAAGAAAAAACGATATTTACATCTCCCGGAAGTGTAAAGAAGATGTAAATATGGCTTTACATCTCCAATTTACATCTCCTGCAATGGAGATGCTCTAAGGAATTGCATGATGGGTAGAGTTTTTTGAGCTAATTTTATATTTGTTTTATTGCTTTTTTTCAATCTACAATACTATCCTTGTGAAATCTGAATGTAAATTTCAAATCAACTATTCTTTTTTTTTTGGTGAAGCATGTGACATGGCTTTATAATAGTAGAGAAATATTACCATCATCGTTAATTTGTTAGTTTACTGATATTTCTTTTCCCTTTTCTTTTTTTAGGCTAGAGGTTTTTTTAACTCAACTAGTCTAGTGATACTTTTCTTCACCAATATTTAGTGTGGTGATATATATATATATATATATTTCCAATTATCTCATCACCTTTTTTAGCATGTTTCGTGTAGTGATATTTCTGTTTCTAATGTTAGAATAAATAAATAATTTTAAAAAAAATTACTATTCCAATCATAATTGATATTTGTATCCCATGATTTATGTGTATATATACACAAAGAGCTTCTATTGATGTATCCCTCAATTATTTGAGGGACATCCTTGTAGGGCCTACTCCGCACTGTATTTCACTAATCCAAACAGTCTATTTTGTAGATATTTATTCAAAGATCATCTCTACAAAAACTCACTTGAATCCGATATCATTTGATCACTCAATTAAATTATTGAAATTTTAGTACTTTCCTGAAGCATTATGTGTCATTGATTTTGTAGAACACAATTAGATGTCTAAACGGTTTCCGATTTGTCTAATTTTTTGTAAGGATGATCTATGAATGAAGACCTAAAAAATAGATGGTTTGGATCATTGAAAAAAAATTCGTAGGGTACCCTAAAAGGCATCCCTCAAATAAAATTATTTAAAAGATCCCTCAATAATTTTTTTTCGATCTTCCTAAAAAAACCATAGCCGCACTCTGGTCCCCTTTCTCCTTGCCGACAACCAACTGCAAGGAAGCTAAAGAGGGAGGTGGCTACTGCCCCTCCTCCCCTCCGCCCATCTTCCCCTTCCTCTCCTCATCTCCCCTTCTTTTTCTCCCATCTTTTCCCTTCCTCTTATTGTTCGGTTCATTTTTACACATGATTTTTCATGTTATTCACCCACTATTTTGAGTTAGTTCTTGACATTTTATAGCTTTTTATAGCTTGTCATGGTGAAGTTGAACCACTAGGTAATTGCATTTCACAACATTCAATTTGCCAACAGAAACTAGGTAGTTGCACACACAACATGCAATTGCATTCACAGTTTGCGAAAACCAACTTTCTGTTGTCAATTATGTTCGATTCCAATTCACCCACTATTTTGAGTTAGTTTTAACATTTTATAGCTTTTTACTTCCTTTTTGTGTTTTCTTAGATTTTACCTTGGTTGGGATGAAAATGAGCTAAAAGTGCATTATTAGTCATAAATTCTGTTTTTGTTCATTTTCGTAGGTCAACTTCTTGGCCTGGGATCAA